AGTCTTAAGAGTGTTTGGCACCGAAGGGAAAAAGGAGTGAGAGTTATAGGGAATGAACAGGCCCTAAAGAGGCAGGATGCTGTTGTAACAATGGCTGGCACAGTTGGGGGGGCCATTCACTGGTGGAGATTGCCATAGGCATTGATGTGAAGAAGCATATGTGAGCAAAAGAGGCATGGGTGAGAAGGGAAAAGCAAGCAAATGTATCAGAAGGGTCCTGTTGGCAGAAAGAAACAAGAGTAATCCAATTAGACTCATCTTAATATTAGTGTGTTTATGATGAAGGGTGTATTTTATTTCTAATTTATCTTATAGCCTATTTTCTAACTTTATTTTATTCTCTGTTTTAAAATATATGCATTTACCTTTCCCCTAAAGAGACAGATCCTTAAATTAAGAGAATTGGTTTTGTATTCCACCTCTTCTACTAAGTGATGAGCTGACGCTGGGCAAAGCATCTTTCTGAGCCTTAGTTTCCTCATCTGCAAAATGAATGTAACAGTTATATATGCCACTGACAAAAATGCTGTATCTGGCAGCATTCTGTAAATGGAAGTGCTGTGCAAATAATACTTATTAACTCTCACGCTTATTTTAATATAGGGAGTCCTAGTTCTTACTTTGAAGGTAATCATGATATTTCAGTGCTTGGGAGAATGAACTCTCTGGTGAAGGAATTTTCAGGAGAATCTTTTAGTGTAAAGTGCAAAACACGACACATTTTAACATGAAAATAGATGAAACTCATAAATATATACACCTACTATGTACCTACAAAAATTTTAAAAAATTAAAGGAAACTCCAGAATTTTAACATTTGTGAATAACTAGGTATCCCACATACCATATTCATAGTACAAAATACAATTCTATGTGTGTGCATTTTTAAAATCGTATTTTAGAAAATTAAATATTTAATAGATAATTACTATCTATTACTCCATAAGCAGTGAAGCAGCACTTACATAATTGTGTCAAATTTCACTCTACTCATATTCACACATTAACCAACAAGTGTATTGTAAATATTGAGCTTTTGCCATTTGGTCCTTTACAGTTTGAAATGTGAATTTTTTACTAGATTTTTATCATTTTCAGAGAAATTTAATCACTGCTACATGTCCATTAATTGTGCTCATTATTGTGAGATCCATTTCTACTGTTTTTTCAAGAATTATCAGTGAAAATAAATGGAAACTGTAGCTGTTGGTAGATTATTGAATGTGGATTTTTTTTAAAGTTCTTTACAGAAATTCAGAGAGAGGGGTGAAGCCGGTGAAATGATGTCTTTATGATCCCCTTCCCTCCTCACTCCCACAGACCCATCTAGCCAGTGTCACTGTCTTGGAGAGAGGCTAGGTTGTTTGACTTATAGCCTGATATTCCTTCTACCATGTAAGTAAAAAGAATCATTTCATTGTATATCTCTGCTATGTACTCATAGGATGTCACTAAATTATCCAGAATCCTAGAGTGCAAGGCATATAATTGGAACCCACCCTAAAAACAAAAACTATGAAAAATCCTGCCTTTTAATTTCATAGTTGCTGCTCATACATATAAGTTACCCTAGAAAATTCATCAAGTTATTACTTCATCCAGCCAAGGGAGTTAATAAGAATTGTTTTTTCCTACTATTCTGGATTGTTTTGTAGTTGAAATGAGGGAATATGTGTGTGTGTGTGTGTGTGTGTGTGTGTGTGTGTGTGTGTGTGTGTTAGTTTTGTGTTGCCATAACAAAATAACACAGACTGGATGATTTATAAAGGAAAGAAATTTATTACTCACAGTTCTGGAGACTGAGAAGTCCAACTTCAAGGTGCTAGCATCTGGTGAGGGCCTTCTTGCTGCATCACCCCAGGGTGGAAAGCAGAAGAATAAGAGAGTGCACACATAAGAAAGAGACAGATGGAACTTGGACCCTGAAGTCTTTCTTTAATCAGCCTTAATCCATTCATGGCTAGAGCCCTTATAACCTAAATAGCTCCCAGGAGGCCTCACCTCCCTTTTGAATTAGGGATTCAAAATGGAAAATTTTGAAATTTAAATTGTAAATAAATTTTCAACATATGCTTTTGTGGGTACCCATTGAAAGCATAGCAATGTATGTGCTTCAAAGAACAAACATTTTGGGAATCCAGTAGGTCAAATTTAGCTCCACATTGGGTAAATCATGCTAACTTCCTAAGTTTTGGTTTCTTAAATGGTAAAACTGAGGTACCAATATCTAATTCAACAGACTACTGTGAGAAGTACGAGATACCACATGTAAAGGATCTGGTACCTTGCTTAGCATTTATCCCTCTAAGTAGTAGCTATGATATCATTTTGTTGTTGATATGAGAGTTAGGAATTTGTAGGAAAAAAACTTAGTTCAAGACCTCAATTCTGCCCATTACATTTTGTGGAACCTCAGACCAGTCCTCTTTTTTCTTTTTGCTGCTGCTGCTTTACCTTTTTAAACCTGTAACATAGATGTAATAACACAACCTAAGTCTTCATTTGGTTATTATGATTAAAGAAGAGAATACAGATAAAAACCTCTAGTATAGTTCCTGGCACATAGGCTGCTATATAAATGTATTTTAATCTAAATTTAGAGTATATACCTCATCCAAGTTGTAAATATTAGTGTCTTCATTCATCCACAGACATGACAACCCTGAGTTAGATGTCTCTGATTTTACATTTTCCAAATAACTTAGTCTTTACAAAGTTATTCTTTTTTTTTTTTTTTTTGTGGTATATGCTTAAAAGTCAAGTACTTGAACAAACTGGCTCTGTGTACCAGCCTTATAGCTTTATGCTAGTTAATAAAGAGGCCAGGAATGTTCTGCAGGTTTCAGAAATCTGGCTGCTGTTTCTTTAACTCTGCAACTTAGACAGAAGACTTCTGTTTCTTTATGAGCACACTACAGTGAATATTTTGTCTAGCTGCAGGGGAAAAGCTTTGTCATGGACTTTGCAGACAATAGCCTTAAAAGTAAAATGGTCTGCTTTCGGTGCCTGGAGGTTCAGGGGCCTATTGTTAGTGCACAATGGATTTCTATTGCTGCATTCCTGCTTTGCAAAGGTTTGTTAGCTTTTAATGACTGACAGTACTCTATTGCAAATACCATATTGGCTGTGCCCTGTTTACATGCTACTCAAGAATTTTTGTAGAGTGCTGGAGAAAAGAAACAGTGGTGTTTGTTTGACCTACTCTGATAAGGTTTAAGAAATAATTTCACTCTCAAACAGTTTACTGGAAATGTAGAAATGTTGGAAGTTCTTGCAGAAGTATTTTAAAGTTACTTTTAAAGCCTCAATGAAGAGAAATACTGGTTACAATATGAAGATAATGACTCTGTTTTATTACTCCTAGAATTGCTGTTAATATTCCGAAATAATATAGAAATTGGGATTTTAAAAAAATTCCAAGTAAATTATTCAGTATTAGTTCTTAAATGTGAAAAATAGAGCTATGTATTTTGTTCCAAAGGAAAAGAATATCATTTTTCATTTATCCAACTTCATTCATTCATTTCAAATTCATTCCATAGGTAAATGTGCATATATTATTTGTTGTGGGTATATATACATATTTGCACGTACGTGTATATGTATACATATAGACCATGTAAGAGAGTAATCATTCAGAGCTTTGCACCATTTTATTTTCCACAAGTTTCTGACATGTGAGACAAAAGTGTTCCATAATGTTATTTTTTTTTTCCCATGGAAAATCGCATCTCTGCTGTTTAAAAACTCCACACAGGCTTTGTGACTGCTAGCTGATTGCTATAAAGATGGGGCCCTGGAAAAAAGTAGATAGCATTAGCTAAACATGATAAAGAAAACTCTTTAAAATGTATTTTACTGTGGGGAAAATTAACCAGTTTCTAATAATATTATGGTGTCTAGGCCAGACGGTCCCTTTGATAAGTTAACACGTACTCCCTTTATGCTCCTGGTGGGGGGTAAACAAATGCCTGAACAAATACAAATACACATAAACACCAGTGTGGAGAATGGCAGTGTGTGTCTTAGATCTATATAATAAGTGTGGGTATTGTTATTTAGAGGGAGCATACTGGGACACTTATCTTTTAGTACATTCCATTTTCTAAGTGAATGCAGTGCTAATCGTGGGATTGAAAGCCATTGTAATTGTGTACCCATCTAAATGCTGACAAGAATATACAATTATATTGTTTGAAACTGAGTTTAATGTTTGGGAGTTTTTATTGGCATTTATATTTACTTATACATTAAAATTCATCACAAAAGGAAAGGTCAAAAACTATGTTATATGTAGAAACAAATAGCAGACTATAGCAGACCTAGCTTTCTAAAACGTGTGTGCCCTGTCCCAATACAGGGCATTTTAAAAGAGTGTGATACAAATCTGAAATAAGCAAATAATAGGTTTCCGTTATGGGCATTTCTCACTTCTCTAGATTTTGAAATCTTTTTAAAGCTTCTTTTATACCAACTTTTTTTTTTTTTAGTGTTCGCAGTACTGGCAAATCTTGCCACAGTGTGCTTACTACCACACAATGTTAAACACATATTATAAAGTGGATGTAATTGTAAACACACAGAGGGATATAATTACATGTAGCAGATTTAAGAGCTAATTCTTTGCCTTTTTTTACTCTGCATTTTATCAACATAATTATTTTTTGACTGCAGACTAACACCCTGAAATTGACAAGCATCCATTATAGCAAGAATTTGTTCACCAAATTGAAAAACAATGAACTGCAAGGTTTATGTGTACCCATTGTCATAAAGAATTAGTATGGCTTTGTTCCGCAAGAGGAAAAAGCTAATGATTTTGAAACAGCAGGTGACAAAACACATTCTTTTTTTCCACCCCTGTTATCAGTTTTTTGATGAAGCCATTATGAAGTGGGGCTGGGATAGGGATGGCCTTATTTTTAGCAGATAGACTTTTAATGAGCTCCATTGTAAGGAGAGTCATGTTGATTTGCTTACTTCTTTTTTTCTTTACTTAGAAACCCCCAGTATTGAAAAGCTACTCTCAAAGGACTGGAAAGACAAGCTTCTTGCAATGGGATCGGGGAACTTTGGCGAAATAAAAGGTAATAATAGTGTGATTATTTTGATCCAAAATGTACCAAAATGAAGTTGATATTCAGGAATATTAATGGTGATGAAGTATATTTGCCCTCACCCCCTTTTGCTTCTCGCGTTCTCTGTGTTTGGGGTTTCTTCTTTCTATCTTGAAGGAGGATGTAGCAGGGTTCTTTTCTTCTGTTTTCTTTGTGCCGTATAGAATAAATGATACTCCGTTTTCATAGAATTGCCCCACTATACCTCTAACAGGCTCTGATTTTCATAATTTAAAAAATTTATTTTTTTATAAGTAAGAATGTACCTACAGCAAGGTTAAAAACTGTATCTTATAAGATGATTTTGTACATTTTACATATAGGAAATATGGGTGTGTATGACCTACATTTAAAACCAGAAATGATGAATGGGGAGGGCATAATAAAAGACTGTTTTGTACCAATCAGGGTAACACTGTGTTTTGGTTTTATTTGAATCAACAATTACATCCAACTAAAAAATTCTATAAAAATATTCGTATCTTAATAAACTCCTAATAACAAGGGGAGAAGATTGAATTGCCTCATGTAAAATAAAAGGAAATTATCCTTTCAATTAATTTAAAAGTATGTTTTCTCAAAACATTAGGCAATCTGCAGTTTTCTGTTTGTGGCTAGTGGGACACTTAAGATTCTGAGTTCTTTTTTTTTTTTGAGATGGAATCTGAGTACTACAGTAGGATTAATTCTGAAAAAGTCAAGATACTTAGTCATCAGTATAAAATATTTAGTTATATATTGCTGTGTACATTTCTGGTAGAGGCGGAATATATATTTAAAATATCACCAGACTTGTATTAATACACATGTGAAATATAAGTATAAATAACTTTTTTTGCATATATGTGTCTGTGTAAGTGTTTTCACAATGAGAGAAGCAATTATCTCTCTTAAGGCTCTACTCCATCAGTGCATCCTGGAAAAAGGCAAAGCATCGCTCTTAAATGTTTGGCCTACCTGACATTAACATCTGGATATCTAGAAACTTCCAGAAAACATTTGACTGAATATTTCATTTTTCATGCAGATCATTTGGAATTACATATATTTAGGCTATGATTACTTGTGAAAAGATGATGAGAAAATGAATTGGTGCTAATCAACAAATTCAGCAGCCAAAATCTACAATGGAATCAAATTCAAATGAATGAGAATCAATATGCCTTAAAGAGCTTGAAGACAAAGTTTACGCAGAACTGAGAAGTTTCGTCTTCAGAGGCAGCAGGTCCTTTATATTATTTTGATGGATTTTAACCCATTTACCCCAGAGGCATAAGATGCATTCTCCAAGGTTTTTTATTCTCTTCTGACCTGGGTAATAACTCAAGAGTAGAGCAGAGAGCACTGCCTTTTCTAAGCCTTCTGATCTCATTCCAATGGAGGACAAACATTTTTTCCCTCCCTTGTTTTCCTTCACAAGTCAAACTTAAAAGCAGCAATAGCAGTGATGACAAGCTTAGAGGAAAGCTCAGCTGTCCCTTTCAGGCTTGCCTTGGGGGTTAGTTTAGGAAGCTACAGTACAATCACAAAAGAAGTTTCTGTCTTTAATTTTGAGTTTTTTAAGCTTCACATTCAGAGTACAAGTTAGGTTATTGTCCTCTGGTTCTGTTCAAAAAACTGTTTTCTGATGCATTTTAAAAGCAACTGTAGGTCTTTCTTCTGTTCAGGGCATGGTTATTAGGTGCTCAGCTCAGGTTTGGCAGTAAACCTGGAAAATAGCACTGGGTTACTTTTCCTACTGACTGCCCATGACAGTTGCAATTACTATCCATTGTTCATAGGTGGTAGAAAGTGGAGAGGATACAATAGTGTGTTGCCCTCTGGGGGTAAATGAATTTGACTGAAAGGTTCTTGAGGGGTCAGGCACAAAGATTATGTCATGCCCAGGAATGTAGTTTTCCTGCCACTTCAGAAGTTAGATAAGAACAATGACTTAGTTGTTTGGGCAGCTATTTTTTGAGGCAAATAAAGATGTAAGTCTCATGTTCTCATATACCTGTCTAAATGAGGGAGGGAAGGATATGTAAATTTTTTATCTGAAACTATGAATGTATTGAATTATTAGATTATTAAGGTTAATTTAAAATAATGTATTTAAATAGAACCTTTGCAGATGTTAGGATGTTTACAGCCCTTACAGTATTCACAGAGCCTTGGTGTGCCTGGAAACTTTTCTCCTCCATTTATATTAGCCACTTTTCATTTAATTTTTAATTAGTTCCAGGAGATGTGTGAGTGAATGAGTGTGTGCGTGCGTGTGTGTGTGTGCGCCCTTTTCTGAATATTTCATACTATAGCCAAGTGAGGACTGAGCTCTATTTTAAGTGCGGGTTTTAAATTGCTATCAGTGAATTAGTTTCAGAGCATTTGGACAAATATTGCGATCATAGCTTGGAAGAGTTTAGAGAGTGTTTCTTACTATTAACATTCAAAAAGCAAAAATGATGAACTTTTTAAAATAGGAAAAGTAAATGGCATTTGATTTGGAGAGTTTAGCTATCAATAGATAGTTGTCATACCCACTTAAAGTTAGTCTCGTTTTTCAGGAAACAATGTGGGTTAGTAAAGGTCACCTACTTCCAAGAGCATAAAGTTATTTTTCATGTTATATTATTTCACCTGTTAGAATTTATATTATTTTATGCTCTGGTACTTTCAAAATATGAATTAGGTTTTAAAGTCACATTAAAAACAATCCTCTAGCAAACACCTAAAAAGGACACTTAATCTGGTTTTGCAGAACAAAACAGTTTGACTGAGAGGTTCTGCCAGCAGCAGTCAATATATGCTATAAACTGATTAGCTACCCAAAGAAATCATTTGTTTCTTCATTAATTATCAGCCACATAGTGTAACTAGCCAGTTTACAGAGTCTTTTGCCCTTATTTATATCAAAAGTACTGAGTAACAATAATGTGAAAGGTGAAGAAACATTTTTTTGTCTCATAGTTATTGAGTGGGGAGGGGAATCATTGCCTGTACTCCAGTTGACAGCCGATAATCACACACAGTTTCAGCCTGCATGGAATTCGTTACACAGAAGGTCATTGCATTGGTACCTCACCTGAGGATAGTATCTGGGGATCCATGGCAGATTTAACTAATCTAAGCAGATCATTTGTTTTTCAACAAAGTAATTGCAAAATTTGTATTTTGCTGACTTAATATTTATTTGTAGAATTATAACACAAATATCTGCATGCAAAATACTCTCAATTGTTTTTATCTTGTTGAGCTTATAAAAGCAGAACAGTGTACAGGAGGTCACTTTAAGAAATTCTAGACAAGTTTCTCTACCTGCCTTATTTTAAGAATTTTTTAGAGCCTGGTTTGTTTCCCCTTAGCAAATATGATGGATTCTTCTGACTCTGGTTACAGTGCATTAACTTAGGCCCACAAAATGTTGAATCTGTTTTTAACTTAAGTGCCAGGGACATTTGATACAATGCAACAATTGGTTCTTTTGCATGGCTCTAATTTTGTGTATTCTAGAAGATGGGCTATAAAGGCAAACACCAACACCTCTAGAACTGCCAATAAGGGATTCAAGGAGATAATCCATTCAGCAATACTGTAGCCCTTCAGAGCTCATGAATTAAAGACATATGCAGTGTACGTTCAGTGTGGATTAAAGTAGATAATCTTTTAGGTGGCATGTAGATGTTTGAGATAGAAGATATATAGAGTCAGTAAGTGGGTTGACAGGTATAATTATGTCCAAATAACATTAGATGATTTGAAAAAGCAGGCTTGAAATAGGAATCAGATCCCAGGTAAAAAATCTAGTAAGGAATCCTATAAGTTTTGTAAATTAAAAACATAGAAGCTAACATTTCAGCATTTCAGTATATAAGGGTTTCTATCACTTCCAAAGTTGTTTCAAACGTGTTCTTTTAAAATCTAGTAAAGATTTAAGAATCACGTGGTTTACGAATAGTGGTCTTGTGATTATTACATTTGTACATTAACCTAAAACATTTCTATCTGTACATTTTTACAAAGGGGTTGGAAATGTTGATTAATTTCTGAGAGAACTGTTGGATCTGGAATTTATTCAATACAAGAGTCAGCCGTAAGGAAGGTACACAACATGTAGTCATTTACTTCTAAATAAAGTAAATGTTTAATGTTTTTAATCTACTAAGCTTGTTTTATAGTTCCTCTGTAGTTTCTTATGAGTAATGTTTTCACTTTTTGTAAAAACTATTTCACAAGAACTAAAGAAAGACTGCTGGCACATAGAATATAAGTTTTCCAAATAAGTTTGGCAATGTCTGTAAAAGCAAAGAGTAACTACATTTTCTATAAACCAGTGACTTGCTCTGTCTCATGATGCCGGTGTCCTCATGCCAGTGTGTAAATACAACTGGTGATCATAAGAAAAGGATAGGCCACTATATCTCAATTGATCTGTATATTGATAGTCCAGTCCACAATTAGGAAGTTTTATATACTTTGTACTTTTTAAAGTACTTAATAATGTGCGTTTTAAACATAAGGTTAATCAAATACTAAGTTCTTACATATTTAATCTGGGCTTTGTATTAGAAAAAAATGTTCTCCTCAACATTTTTCTCATTTAAAAATGCCTTCATTCATTTAAAAAAATGACTTGAGAAGTGTAAAGATTCTAAATTTAGATAATTATAAACACATTATCTGTTTTCTTGTAGATATGAATTCCAAAGCTTGTTTAAATACTCTACAGAATATTGGGTAATGCAATTAACCTAAAACCGTTTCCTGTTTGGTACTAAAATTTACTAGGAAAGCATGGTATAGCCAAAGTGATTTGATGTTACATGGGCCGATTCTTCCAAGTACTTGTGGAAATTGGGCTACCGCTTTTGGTTTATTTCCTCATCTACTGATTTTTAGCAAGTTGACAATTATGATTTATTGCCTGTTACTTAGTAAACATCTTTTTTACAGGTACAATGTAAACATCTTTCTTCTAAAATTATTGTGAC